GTAGGGAAGAGACATCGCAAATCCACCCTTTTCTGTCCTAGTTGTCTTATTCCCCCTTATGAGGACTCCCTCCAGCATTGCATCCAAGCCTCTTTAGGTGGCTTTAGTAGCTGACCTTCCTGCTCTGCTTGTCCTCCCCCCCCACACTCCAGACATGATACAGTCTGTGGCACTGCAGATCGAGACTAAAGAGAATAATATACCCAGCTGGGTGGCCTATAAAAATACTGCTGCTCTGTTTGATAGCGCTGTAACTGAGCCTGTGACACAAAACTCCCATCCACAAAAATCAGGTGGTCCAGGGAAGCAAGCATTTAACGAGGCCAAGCCACACAGCTCTCAGGCTGCTCAGCTGGGACCTACATTCACCTCCCAAACATGGGGACTGCTCTTCACAGCAGCAGCAGGTTGGTGATAAGCAGCAGATGGGAGTTGGGAGGACGTCTCCATCCTTCTGTCATTCTCACCAGCTGCTTCACTGCCTGTACAAAATCTGCCGGCTGGAGCACCAGAGAGAACAAGCCAACAATGCCAGAGTTACTCCCAAGAGTTCACATCACCCATGCGAACACTGAGCCACTCAGAGTGTGTCCCACCTATCGAAACACAGCCATGGAAAGAGGGAAAATGAGGCAGTGAGGACATGTCAGCTCTTCAAAGAGAAAGTTACTGAGAGCTCTGCTTGGACACCCAAGCACAGAGATGCCTGCAGAGCTTTGCATGGCCTCTCTAATCACCAGTGCCATTCGCAGGGTGACACGGTGATGCTCACTCAGGCTGCTGTCAATGGGAACATTTAGACTGACTCCTGAGAACATGAAAAAACAGAAGAAAAGGTGTGGTGCGAGAGCTGGAAAAGAGCACTGAGAAGGCAGCACAAAGATGGAGTCAAAGGGGGAAAACAGGCTGGGAAGAAAAGAGGATGCAGAACAGGTAAGGAAAGGGGGAAAGGGAAGAAGTTCATACATCCCCATGCACCAGGCTGCCTTTGAGGAGTGTGTCAGTTGCCTAATGCAGAAAAGAACTGCTTCCAACCAGAGCCCAACTCCCCTCAATCCAGTCCTGAGCACCTGAGTTCCTCAGGTTTCCTGGCTCAAACTCACCAAAAAGTTTAGGTGAGCACTTTGCCACCCCCACGCAGCCTGCCAGCCCCTAAACTAAGCCACCAAAAATAAACTTGCCATACATGTGGTGCAGACAGAAACACTTCTTACGAAATAAGACAAGCAAATCATATGAAACTCACTCCTCGATTTGTAAGAATTTTGATTTTTGCTGTGAGCTTTTACTCATGTGCTTTAGATGTGGTTGTTCAGAGAGAAACACATTCAGAAGGATGGGTGTGATGTGAGCTGGTAGAAGGAGATGGCAGGGAGAATCTGTGAGATGTGTCACAGCAACAATGGGTCAGTATTTAGTAGCAGTTCAGACACAACTGAAGTCTTGGACTATTCAATACAGCCACGCTTTGTGCGTGTGTGTGCTTCTTGTCAGTGGCACCTACACCCCCTTCCATGATACAGGTTCATTTCCCCTCCTGCAAAACTTAACACGAGGAGGTCTGCAGCCAGAATGTTTTACAATGCAGCTTTCCTGGCTTTAGGGACAAGCTGTTTGACGTGAAGGAAGATAATTCTGTCATTCCTCTGTAGGCTATACAGAGCTTGACAGGAATAAAAAAGGAACAATCTAAGGCTGCTGCTTTCAAAGGGCCTCGGAGGAGCCAGGGACCCAAACGGTATATTGTAACTGACAGATGGGCTCTTAAAGGCTCTGAAACCCTTCAGACAAACCACTCATGCTACCCACAGACAAGACATGAGGAGCAAACCTGCTGAGAGGCAAGTGGCCACATCCAGAGCAGCAAGTCAGGCTGGTAACTCTTGGGAGAGTGAACTACACCACTTTGTGTCACGCCTAACAGCCTGGTGGGGCTGACTAAAGACAGACTGGGCCAGCCCCTAAGGACTCCTGACTGCTGCTGCCCGAGTGGAACAGGACTGAAGAGTACAAGGGCCTGAAACACAGAGAGAAGCTCACCTGATGGATTCTGCTTACACCTCTTTTCTTTAGGTTTTTCTGTCCCCGAATGAACAGCTGTAATTGTGGTGAATGCTTGGATTAGTACAGGATTATTCTCCAAAACATAATACGCTTAGTAACAAACGACTTTTTTCCCATTCACTATCACCCACTCTGCCACCACACACGGGTTTTCCATCGCCACTTCACTCCTTTTCAATATGGTTCCAGAAAGCCCCTTATTTGCTTCAAAGGCAGACATAAACCCCCACAGCAGATGCTGTGTAACCTGCTCCAGGGAGAAATCCCTTCCCTTACCTGTCCATTCCAGCTAGCGGTGTCGTGAACACCACACGTTTTGGTACTCTTGAATGGGGAATGGACAGACGACAGCCTTTTCTGCTGGCATGTTATTTATCTCTGCATCAAGTTGCCAAAATTACGTTTCACCTGGTCTGTCTGTTATGCTCCAATTAGGGAGCGTAAGAGAATGGCAGTGTTCCACTTGAAAGCAGGCGGATACATGGGCATGATAAAAATTTTATAAAGAAAACTCTACAAATGGTTTACCCAAACAAAACTGTCTAGGCCAGTGGTTATGTTTGGATTTAAAACTCAAAGGAAACTCCAGTAGTGGGGTAAATTTGACTTCCTTCTAGTTCATGCAGTCTAGTCCCACATCTACACATCTGGTGTGCTTTGACCTCCATATAGCAAACTCACAAACAGCTGGACTCTGGCTACAGTGATGTGTAAATAAACTGCCACATTTAGCAGCACTGTTGTTCTAACTGCTGTTCTACTCATAGTGCTCAAACTTCTCTTGCTTGTTGCAAATGGCTTCACTTCAAAAGGACTTCACTGATGCACTGACAAAGAATAAGTACTGCTTTATCTCCCTTCATAGAATCATAGAACGGTTTGGGCTGGAAAGGACCTTCAAGACCATCCAGTGCCACCCCCTGCCATGGGCAGGGACACCTCCCACTAGCCCAGGTTGTGTATTCCCCTTTCTCTATAACTTTGCTTCCCATTGAAAAATCTGTGATAAAGTAGATGGACCTTGGGAGCAGGATCCCCACACCATTATTTTTTACGGGTTCTGGAATGTTAGGAACCTGGGGAGGAGTGAGAAGAGGGCACTATCCCAGGAAGGCTAGTAGGCTGCAAGCTTAAAGGAGGTACCCCAAATACATAAACAATCACCCATCACAGCTGTATCCTGCTCTGGAGAGGGATGTGGTAAGCAACAGCAGGAGGGAGAGAACACACTTACCGCTGGAGTTCTGAGAATTGCTGTTTGTTTCTTCAAAGTTGTTTTGCACTTTGCCTTCCACTCCCCTGCTGAAAGCACTTTCTGCTGGGTGGAGAACAAAGCAGGGATGGTGACTGGTCAATAGTGGATGCAGAATCACACAGACAGGAGGCAAGACAACATGCTCCTGTGCCACATAATCGCATACCCTGAATAGAGCAGAAAGGTGCAATACCTCGTTTGGAGGCAAATGGGCCAGATTCACTGAAGGGACAACACGTACATACTTTTCTTGAATGCTTTCTGGCTGAGGGGTCCTGGATTGGCTCTCAGGGAGCCCATGAACACCAGTCCTGACTGAACCAGAGGGGTCACGGCTTCCTCCCCTGCAAAAAACCCCAACTCTTATCTTCCTCTTCCGTAAGGCAATAAGCATCCCTTAAAGCCTCTGGCACAGGTGACCAGGTCTGCAGGTTGAACTTGGGTCCTCACCACAACATGCAGAGTGTCACCTACAGAAGCACTACAGCAGCTGTCCCTGTGCTCCCCAGTAACCTGCATTCCTCTCCTAAACACCCTCCCTGAAACCTTCCAGCGGAGGACTGAAGGGCTGTCTCAGAGCCTGCCCACCATGTCTGGAAAAGCTGCTGCAGATCCTCTGACCCTCTGAGCTTTCCAACAGTGAACTCGCTGCCTCTCCCCTGTCCCAGGCCACAAGTTTAAGTAAATAATGGAAAAGGTTTCTCAGCTTAACTCTTAACTTTGTTGAACTGGATGGACCTCAAATTAGTAACAAAATCATATAAATGTTTAAGAGGTGCAATAACAATATGGAATCTCAGGGCTCACACGCTGTAAGAAGACAGATCACTCAGTGCAGCATCCGGTAGCTGCAGATGTGTGTCATCTAACAAAAAGCACCCGTGTTCAGCATCCTGTGGCCTGGAGAGCCACCACAGCCACTGCTGCCACTCGGCCTCGTCCATGCCAGACATTTCAGGGGCATTTAAACACCAGGCGATTAACCAGCCCTTCCTCTGTACTGAGATGGAATATGGATCTATCAATCCCATAGATTTAAGAGACTTCTTCCCTGCTGCCCGGACACGGGAACACTATGTCTCACATTCTATTAATAGTTATTTTTCAGTTCTCTTTGCCTTCTTTTTTATCCTTTCTTTTTTCCTAAGGTTTGGTCTTGTTTGGAAGGAGGAAATGGGGACTATGGGAGGATCAACCTTAACTTGAGTCTTCTGACCCCTCTGTAATGGTTTTGTACCACTAATTCTGCTGCTGCAGCCCAGCTTTTATCTCCCTGTCTCCTGTGGGAAGCGCAGCACTGTGAACACACCTGTACTCCATTTCACTCCCTCGGGCACAGGCCAAGCCCTGAAAATATCACCTTGAGGGAAATAAACACAAAATGCCAAACAAAGCTGAAAACCAAACAAAAATCCCCATACCCGACAAGCCACCACGCCAATCCTTGTGAGGAAACTCTCCTCAGTTTGTGACACCAGGATTTGAAACAGGGTCTTTTGTACCTCGTGGTTAGCACGATGCTTTAAAAAAAACAATTTGTCATTGGGAAGAGATTATAAAGACCTACTGCTGATTTAAATTTTTATTTACAACGTGCCAAAGGATCTAATCCCCTCAACTGCTTCTGGGAGTAGCTTTTCTGGGACAGTCATGAATGGACCAGACTGAGTCCAGGAAGGGTCAAAAGCCAACGCAGGGCAGGACTGGACACTAAGCAGTTAAGAAAGTTGATGGTAGAAAGGCAATTGGTACCTGTAATGGCCTTGCTTCCTGGGGATCCAGAATTTGGAGTGCGGAACATCTGGGATTGGGATGTCGGTGGGACACTGGAGGGGGTGCGGTGCAGGAGGGTAGAACATCGGTTTATTGAAGCCGGTGTTTTTTTGCTGGATTGACTCGCTTGTGTCTTCACTGCCACGAAGAGTGGAGATCGAGAGAACTCTGGATATGAACACTCAGAACTAGTGCCTGGACAGTCACTCAGCTCCCAGACCGTGTGCCTTCTGGGAGGATTGCTTTCTAACAGCCATGCTCACGAATCCCTCGCACAGGGACCTGCAGCAACTGTGGATCCACCGATCCCATGTAACAAAATTGTTTTCCCCACTCACCCAAGGGGACAGACTCTCAAAGCTTGTTAGTTCCCTTGCACACCTTTAACTGCCACGTGCCCAACCCATGGAATCACCCCATCCATCAGGAGTACTGTTTGATTGCCGTGGCCTGGCTGGGTGTGCCTGCATCTCTGTCCTCCACTTCTATGTGTGTACAAGTTTGAATTTTGAGAGCAGGTTTCTAATGTGATACTCAGAGCTCTGAATAGGGAGAAGTTTATGTCTTTGTTCCTTGAGCCTTGCATAAATCCTAGAGAGCTCCAGCTACATTCATTGTCTTGTTAACCAAATACAAAGAAAAGGGGGTTGTTGGTAATAGAAGGGAATTAGGAGGCAGAATTCTCATCCCACAAGTCAGGAAAGGCCTTTTGGCCCCCATCTCTAGACAAGTACAAGTGACATGTGGAGAAATTCTGAGTATTACTGGGATATACTCTTTGAATGTAACTACATTTCGGTCTCTTCAATGCACAGTGAGGATCACCAGGAATTTTCAATGCCAAAAGTCATACGAAAAACCTCTGGGAGGACAGTCCTTTGTCTGGGCCACATGGATAAAAAAAAACAATTACAAAAATGGAGAAACAACCTAACAATCCCCTTCATTCCTTAGTGGCTTCTTCCATGGAAATTTAGATAACGGCTCCTGAAGCCCAAGTTCCCCCTTCAACTCTCTGCCATGAAGAATCACTAAGAAACAAGGTTCATATAACCCACAGCCCAAGCTCACTATCAGTAATATCTACAGAGTGGTATTTTTGGATGCTGGATGGGTAATGCTAGGACCTGCTCATCCTATATAGTGTAACTCAGAAGTACTTGAGCACATCGAGCAGTTCTCCGTCAGGGGCTGCCATGGCAGCACAACAGCCTGTCTTGGAAACAGGTGAGGAGAAAAGTCACCTGGTCGGGGACTGGATGTTCATTTCCAAAATTCCATGAGATATTGTACACCTTTCCCTGTCAGCAGTCAGCAGCACTGCAGAGTGAGGATGTGCACATTCAAAGAAGCCTCCTGTAAATGTTGGTGTACTTCTGGAGAAGATTCTGCACCAGGTTTTCTTGTAGTTTAGGTCAAGATACTTCTCCTCCACTCGGTCTCTGGCCAGTGGCTAGGCAGGAGGTTTGCTTTTCCTCCCTATACTTCCTTACAATCTCCATGGATAATCCTCCTCCAGTTGCTGACAAACCATCAGTAAAAATGTAGTCAGATATGACAATTTTCTCCTTGTGTGTCATCTAGTTTTCCATGAGGCCCGTTCTCATTAATTGCTGCTTTATTCCCCATCTATACCAAGAGAAGCAGCAATCTGGGAACGATGCAGTGTCAGAAATAAAGAGCATCATCGTGAATCTTCTGGAGTTCAGATACTGCTCCCTGAGATCTGAAGAAAAAAGTCACAATGTTATGAAGACTTCCAAAAACACTTCTTTTTCCTCCAACTAAAACAAATAGTATGTCTTAAAATAAAGACCCAGAAAGAAGGCTGCTCCATCTGACACTACGAAGAGACAGAGTTTGAGCCATTGACGTAAGACAGACAAAAGAATATTAGTTCTTACTAGAACTAACTAGAACATCACCAGATGACAAATTCCCTGTGAAGACTATGTAACACAGGTAGAGGCAATCACATAGCTCCTCCATTCTGCTCTTGAAACTCATCTTCACCGTGGAACTCACTGCCTCAGGCTGATGAAAAGACCAAGTTCAAGGTACTTCCAAAAATGAAAATACCGGGTTGCTGAATAGTTACAAAAACTTCCTGCCTCAAAATCTGCAGCTTGACAGCAAGACTGGAGACAGCATTGTGGACAGACAATCCCAAAACTGCTGCTATGAAGTTTTTAAACTTTCTCAGAAAGCACCTGAGACGTGCCCCAGTTGAGGCTGGCATACTGGAGAAGGGAAGGCAGGAGAGGAGAGATGTAGAGGGTAAGACCCATTGCGTGATCTCCAATCACTTGGTAAACTGAGTGCACTGTGCTACAGCCGCACAGAATGGCACGTGGCGCTCAAGAATACAGGTGATCCAGGTGATGGCTCCACCCGGGCAACAGGAAAAAGAGCTTGTTCACTACCATGCTCGGTGACGACGGCTGTAGAGGAGCTCCCAGGACAATGATGCAGCTAAAAAGACGGAGGTACTCTTTGGGTATGGAATCAGGGCACTTTCAAAGGGGAGCAGGAAGACAATGTTAGCTCTAAGTTCCTTCAGTGGACCCAGTACTGGTGTATGCCCTTCACGAAAATGGTTAACAGACTTCAGATTATTCAGATGAGAAGGCAAGAGTGTAAATAAAGGACAAGAACAGCGTAACGACAATGGAAACATCGAGTCACTCCTTTGGCTTAACTGGGAGGTTAGTCACTATGAAGTGACTTGACAGCAGGCTACGCAAAGGTCTAGCAAGGAGAGAAACTGGATAACTTAGACCTCCTTCACCTAGCAGACACAGCTATAAATAGGATCCAGTGTCTGAAAGCTACAGCTGGATATTTTTAGTCTCAATTTAGTGAGGGTAATAATTCACCAACATGATTACCTTAAGAGGTTGCTGTATTTTCTGTCACTCTTAACAGCAAGATTAGATGTCTCTCTAAAACATATATGTGAGCAATTAAATAAAGGCAAACCTATAGCATGCGTTACTCCGGTCAGTCCAGAGATCACAGTGGTCCCTCCTGTCTTTGCTGTCTTTGAGAAGACCTTCAAGCTTTGTGAACAGCAAGCTGCAACAGTCAAGCAGAAAATCTGGCAGACATTCCAAAATATCTCCTCAAAAGCTTCATAAATTCACACACTACCACCATGCATCACCACAACAGAATAGAGATCTTTTTTTCCGGGTAAAAATTCTGGCTAATAACTTGTGCACCACATTTTTTCACAAAGATCTTGTAAGGATGGGTAAGGAACCATTTGGATGGTTCAGACGGAATTATACCTTCACCTCTGGAGAAAAACCTATCTTTAATGAATATGACAGAAAGTGAGTCCTTAACAACGGCCTGAAATTCAACACACTGAGCGGAAACCTCTGCTATTGGAAACAGACCTGCCCACAGAGAAACCCTGTGCTCAAGCCTATCAAATTCGTAATGTGCTTCTTTATTCATACGAATACTGCCAGCAGAGCCTGTTGCTAAGGCACTGTGGAATCAGAGAGTGGGAAAACCATCTGAACTCACAGATTTCACCCACTGAGATGGAAGAAGCAAAGACACGCCATCCAACTGGAATCTGGGATCTTTTTTTTTCTTGGTTAGGCAGGACCTTTGTTGAAACTAGATGTGCTACCAAAAATCTACGAGAAAATGCCACGATGACCGCTGCCTTTAAGAAACACTGCGTTTAAGCACTTTTGATGAACAAATTGTATCCAGTGTCCTTCACAATAAGAAAAGTAATTGAGCGGAGAGGCTTGATGAACTTCCTTGAGCACCTCAGGTGTCGGTGGATGTACGTCTGTCTGTCCCCTGTGGAGCCAAGTACAATCCCAGGGCTGGCAGGGCCGGGTCTTCAGCAGCCAGGGACCATCCCACAGCTCCTGGGAGAGGTGAGCAAGGCAGGATCAGAGAGGACAGCCAGGTTCAACCAAAAGTCCAGATCATCAGGAAGATCATGGCGATGAGACAGGTCCATGGTCAAGCTGGGAATCCACTGGGCAGCAGAAGAATCAGCTCTGCTGAGGACAACCAGGGCCAGACACATACCAGCAATCCTTAGGGAGGTCCAGAGTGATGAGACAGGGTTGACAGCAAGCTGGGAAGTCAGTCTGTGGGTTGTGGTACAGGCCAATGGGATCCATGGCTAGGCATGGGCATGCCTACAACTGAGCTGGAGACCGACACCCTACAATGTAGCTTAGGCAGGGACTGATGGCCCACAGCTGAGCTGAAACGGGGTTTGAATGTGGCAGGGACTGGTCAGGGCCATTAAGACCTCGGGACTCTGATATCACTTTAGATTTTCACCCTGGAAGCAACGGGCATGGATAGCTGTGCAGATTTTAGCACTCTCACCACATACTTCCACGACTAGGGAGTCTGCTGCCTTATCTGCAGTTACCAGAAGAGGATGCGGTGAGTGCACACTCCTGTGCCTGGGCTTACCAAGCTAAAACCCACTTTTGGTGGCTTTTCCAGCCAGTCCACATCCCAAAGGCATTAGGTTTTCTCTGTACTGTAAACACACCATCTAAGAGCAATCATGATAGCCCAGCCGCCTGCAAATGTGCTGAAATAGTTCCACCCTACAGAGCAGACCGAGCCTGGAGGAGGACAGAAAGAAATCTCTGAACCCTCCCACCTCCGTTCAGAGGCATTTCTCAAACTGGGACAATGAATATGCCTACGATCCACTTTTTTTGGAAACAGCCTCTGACACCCTTCTTGGAAGGAGTGAACAGGCTGACAGAAACAGCATAAGCATATGTATTTTAAAAGAGTAATAGCCCAGTTCTAAGCATATGAAAAAGCCCCTACGCCTCAGTAACAAAAAGGAAATTTTGAAGGAGACATTTGGCATTAACAATTCCAGGGAACCCCACAGCAGAGCTCTTTTCCACACAGCAGATATCCAGCAGCACTGACCAAAAATTATCCTGCAAGGTCCTACTGACCCTGTAGGATATGAATCCTTGTTTTAGCTCATTTTAAACACTTTTTTTTAATCCATTATCACAGAAAACCAGCAATACAGGCTCTGGAAGGAAAGCTTACACTCAAACAGAGAGACCCAGGAAGCTGAACTGGTAATGCTGAAGTGTTTTCCTTACCCACTAATTTTTCAGCATTTGCCTTATAACCACAAGAACAAGACCAGGGTAAAGACACAGTCTCAGCTTCACTTGACTACAAGGGCATGAGAAAAGCCAGTTGTGCTTTTCAAAAATCATGTGTTTACAGCTCTGTCACAGGACTGTGGTTTACGGGAAGAACAGAGTCTGAGCAGTAGAAAGGTGGGAGGATGTACTGGCCAGCCTGCCCTGGGAGCCAATCATGCCCTCTTCTATATGGTCATCGGGGTTAGTGGTGTGTCACTGTAAATCATAAATCCTTCTGGTCATGGGAATTAGGAGAGGGAAAAAAAAGCTTTAAAAAAAAAGGAAAAATAGAAGTTTATGGAGAGGGGGTTAAACCTTATGAAATATTATCCTGATCTGATGTTAAGTGTCCTCATAGTTAAAGATATTGCTGAAAGGACTGGAAACCCCTGTGCACATCTAAGTGACTGCTGGTCTAGTCTGCAGCAGGGGCAGCTTTTGCTTTCACAAAGGTGACTGCAGAAGCCATGGTGTAAGAATGGCTTCAACCCCAGTACTCTAAAGAATGTGTCTCCTCTGCCAAAACTTGCTTTCGGTAGTCACAAAATGGGTTTCAGGACCCTGCAGCTGCACTGTGCACAGGGCGAAGGGCAGGATCTGTGCGGACCATTCATATCTGCAGTCAGACCTGCAGGGCCCGCTGCAGGCAAATACCTCTCAGAGAAGGACAGTTGTGGGTTTTTTTCATGCTGGATGGCCTGGACTGGAACTAGCAGCTGCAGCCTGTTTGTTACTACAGAGGGTTGGGAGGGTGGAGAGATACCCATAGCAATAAATCCCCTTGAAATGGGAAGTACTGGGAAGCTAAGAATCTGCTACTGCTGAGCAGTGATTCAATGACCAGTCCTTGCAGCATACTGCTCCTTAGCTACCTGTGCAGGGGGGGACCAGAGACACCAAAGCCTGGTGTCTGAGGGCCCATCTACATAAGGAGATGGACCTACTGCTGATCACCACCAACAGCTTTTCTGAGGATCTGAAAACACCAGAATTTAGAGGTGGAGCTTGGGAGTGCAGGGATATTTAGGAATAACTGTTATGTGTGCAATCAAAAGCACTGAGTTAGCTCCCTTGGGTAGGTGGGAGATAATAAGACTAACTTTGCAATGACAGCAGTAGAGGTATTTTATGCCCTACACCTTCTGTCATGGTCCATCTCCATGCTCCAGAGAACCTGCATGGGAGCTGTCAAGAGCCACCAAGCCTTGACCCACCTTAAAAGTGATAGTCTGGTGGACTGTGTTCCAAATTTATTTCTACGTATATCTAAAACCAAAGCTGCCTTATTATAATAACTCAAAATCCTAGCTGAAGCTGAACTTGGTGTGGAAGGATTGTGCGCTCCCTCTGCTGGCTGCAGATCAGCAGCTAAAGAAACCCACTAAGCTACCGAGCCCAGCTCATCCATCCTCGTCATCAGCCAAAATGCTGGCAGCTGGGCGAAGAGTGACCATGCTGGCAATAAAGCACAGGGAATGCTATGAAAGAAGCATGAAGGTCAGGTGTAAAGAACCTCTCTGCATACTTTTAAAGCATCCAAAACCAATATGTAGCAAGAATTTCTCTCAACTGTTTCACTAAAATTTTGCACTAAATCACACTTAATTGCTCATTAAAACCTCCCCTTTGTCTGGAGAGTGCAGATCGTAGTATCCCTCCAGAGTGCAGATCGTAGTGTCGTGTAGTATGCTGAGAACTGCCTTTTCCTGAGCTCCCTGAAATAAATATTTTATTATCTGTGATTTAGTAGCAAGCTGCTAAGGTAATTCACATGATTTTGAATTTAGAGGAGTCTAAAAATTCTGTGCATCACTTTGTTATGTGCACTTCAGGTACCAGAGCCTTCAGTTAAACAACAAAATAAAATACCAAACCCCCAAGGAATGTGTGTATGCATGGACTTTGGTAAAAGTTCAGTGACATTACAGACCTAACAGTAACAGTGTCCCTCTGAGAGGAGATTCCAGCGCAGCTTTACAGTGCCCTGGTCAGCACATGATCTACGTCCTGCCAGCTGCAATCCCACAGGTCCAGTGGAAGGAACCACAAGAATGAGACCCTCTCCTGTAACCCTCGTGTTTCCCGTCAGCCACTGTAAATCACAGTCTGCAACGACACAGATCTCCAGCAGGATACTCACTAATAGGTGCATGCAGCGCCACATGTTCCTGGTAGGGAGTGTAGTATTTGTACTGCTTGCCACAGAATTCACAGGTGTAATTGCCAGTTTCTGTGAAGATGAAACAAACACAAAGATCAGAAAGGAGTGCAAAACCCTCTCACACAACCACCGACTTCCTGACTTTTACATAGAAACCGGCCAGGTGACAAGAACTAGAGCATACTCCTCATGCACCTGGAACTTATCTGCGCTGCAATTCACACATCCTTCTCCCCAAGAACGGAAACAGTTAAGGCCAGTGTCCAGAGTGATGGACTGTGCATAAAAAGTCCAGTAGAACTGAACAAGCTACAGGAGATTATCCCAAAATTACAGCAAGTAGGTGTGCAAAACAAAGGAGAGAATCTATTTCTGAAGTCTGTATTACAGATGACACAGTTTTGTCTTCTGTTTACAGACAGTCTGTCATGTGTGGACAACAGGAACAGTCAAACTAGGAACAAGTTGTCAAGTTTAAGTCTTAATTACAGAACTTTTAGATTGGAACTGTAGCTTTTTCTTGCAGGAGGAGGGGTTTTTCTGCAGTAAGTGTGCTAACTGCTCCTTTGGGTGTATTTGAAATAATGAAGTAGTGGAACCATACACTGACACCTCCTGTTCCTGCCAGTGCTGGCAAGTACAGATCTGACAGCAAGCTGCAAGCCAAAGGAAAATCCAAGGTTAATCAATTGTTTCCAAAACGGAGAATTCAGAGAAATGCTTTGGTAAAGTCTCTTTCTTTCACTCTTATCTGTTTGATAAACCCACCACAAAGGCAGTGTGAACGCAATCACCTGCCAACTCTGTCAATACACCTTAAGACCCTCTCTAACCGCTGCCAGTGTGCTTTTCTCCTGAATCTCTTCCCTGTTCTCTCTGCAGAGCGCTTGAGCAGAAGACATCACAAAACTGAATTTCTTAGGGGCAGGGCTGCCGGTGCTTGGTGTTCATTTGAACCTAAACATATCCTTCAGCACCGCTACGGTCCCAACACCTCTGTGTAACACAGCGCTTTCTGGTTTTCCTAGAGGTACTTCAGCTAATGCCAGACTTGAAACCCTTGTGTTTCCTCTTTCACATTGAAGCTGTATAATAACTCGTACTTGGACCAATCTTCTGGAACGGCTCTGGTTCCTCCTCCTTCACTTCATCTGCTGCTATGACGGCCTGGTCATAGGGGTCTGCAAGAGAACAGAACCAGCAAGAGAGCTGACAACACCCTCAGGTTTTCCTTCTACAGCTGCATGGGCACTGAATGCTCCTACATCTGCAATGACATTTCGATCTGTAACAAGATTTCAAGACAGGAATTATAAACCCAATGAGCTCTCTGTCTGACTTGTTCCTCCTCCTTCTCCTCCTCCTCCGCCCCAAACAGATATTACCCCCTTTCCAGATCAGTAACATGTCTTGTAGATAAATAATGTTTAAAAAATACAGAGAAAGACTGAAAAAATACATTGCAAAGCCTGATTCATATCTTCTGATTTTCTTCCAGTGCATCTCCTATCTAATGATGTTATACTGCCTGAAAGTGGGCACGGCAATGCAGTCTGCAAGCAAGTCAGCTAACGAATCCTGACCAGTGACTTTCTACCATCTAACAGCACAGCTAGCAACAAATCAGAACCCAACCCGCTTTATAAAATAATTTAATTTATGCCTTAAACAATTCACTAAATCACCAGAGACAGGAAACACCTGTTTCTTTGATTTTCAAAAGCCTGATCAATCGTTATGTACAACAAAAGCCTGGTATCTACTAGGGCTGGGCATCAACCTACTGTCTGTACACATTGGGAGAGGGAGAGAGGATGCTCCTCTCCTGCTGCAATCGGTGACAAAACTCCCTTGACTCCTACAAGTGTAGAATCGGACCGGCTGCGCCTGAATTACTGAATGTTTGAAAGGATTTGTGAAATAAAGCACACAAAGGATCTCAGCTTACCTGCCCGGTTTTCTGGGGCCCCTTCCACACTAAAAACTAACACAGAATAGAAGAAGGAGGGGAAGAAACAAAACAGAAATTAAATCCTCTTAAATGGCCTTGTTTTCCTCCTGTACTTCACGCACCGCTTCAGCATATTTCAGCCCCACAGAATAAACCAGGCTTTGTGCCCCAGTCCCTCCTCTTCCCATCAGTATCGACACAAGAACTATTTGAGCATGCCCAGCCCTACTGTACACAGATTCCCAAGGCCTTTGTTCTGACACTGACACAGCCCCACGTGAAGTTCCGATGCACAGCTGCCTCACACTTGCGTCTGCTAAGACACAACCAGCCCCTTGGAGGAACCGAGACAAACAGTGTCGGTGCGAGATACAAGTGGAAGCCATTTCCAAAGCCCTCTCGTAAGCCTAGGCAGAGCTCCCTGAACCATAGCTATGGAGACACATTTCCGACAGAAGCAGACACGTCCATCTCACAGTGACTTTCAGTCCCAGTGATTTAATTTTGGCTCCCCCTGGGAGGAAGGGAGCTGGTGGTGGTGCACTGGAAGGAACCCTGGCTGTTCTTAGAGCACATTCAGATGTCCACATGTTCCAGTCAAAACCAGAAATTTTTTTGGACACCACATATTGTCAAGAACCACTCGCTTTTCCAAGACAGCGCAGCCATTCAAAACCTCCTGCTTTCCAAGCAGCCTCTCTCTAAAACTCTGTCAGGGTTCCTTTCCTGGCCAAGTGAGGAGCAGTATCAACAGGCTGGTAGCGTATGCAAGCGAGGGTTTGGAGTATCTGTGGACTCTGAGTCGAGGAGCTTCAGATGCCCAGCAAGCAGGGGGCCGTCTCCCACAGCATCCTCGTGGCTAAC